TCTTTTCCCTGTACTCTGTGAAGAACGTTGTCTTTTTTCCTTTTCTTCTGTGTTAGTACTTTCTAAGTGTTTCATGTAGAGATGGTTTTGTGGCTGCATAAGTTCTTAGGGATTGGATATCTGGGAAAGATTTTAATTCTCCTTCACTGATGAAGCTTAGCTTGGCTGGGTAGGTTATTCTTGGTTGAAATTGTTTATCTTTTAGGACTTTGAAGATAGGGCTCCAAGCTCTCCTAGCCTGCAGGGGTTTCTGCAGATAAATCTGCTGCTATTCTGATTGGTCTTCCATGGTGGGTGATCTGGCCTTTTTCTCTTGCTGCCTTTAGGATTTTTTCTTTTGTGCCTACTTTATTTAGGCGAATTATTATGTGTCTAGGAGTTGGTCTTCTCATTTGTTGTCTTGCAGGGGTTCTCTGAATCTCTTGTGTTTGAATTTTTGTATCACTGATTAGATGAGGGAAATTTTCTTGAATGATCTCGTGGAAAGTTTGTTCCAATGTGGTCTCTGTTTCTCTTTCTGCCTCAGGGAGTCCGATTATTCTTAGGTTAGGCCTCTTGAGGTAGTCACTCATCTCTTGAAGGTTTTGTTCTGTCTTTTTTAGCTTATTTTCTGTGTTTTTAAGAGTTTGGGTTATTTCTATATTTTGGTCCTCAAGCTCTGAGATTCTTTCTTCTGCTTGGGTAATTCTGCTTTCCATGCTTATCAATTTGTTATTTATTTCAATCACAGTATTCTTTATACTGTTATCTCAGATATCAGCTCCTCCCTAGTTTCATCTTGAGTCTCCTCAATTCTTTTAATCTCTCCATTATTTGTTTTGATATCTACATTTGCATTTTGAGACCCTTCATTCTGGGGACTTTTCATTGTTTGTATTCCAAAGTCAATTTTCTCAGTGTCTGCTCTCCCAGGCGTCTGTGAGAGACCCATACTCTTCTTTTGGTTTTTCTTCATTTCTGTAGATTTTTCTCCCTTTACCCCTTTCCCTCCCCCTCTTCAATTCTGTTTTTGAGGGAAGGTGGGGTTGTTTTTATTTCTCTTCTGCAATGACCTGTTCTTCCTTATGAGGGTCTTCTGGTTTTGTTCACTTTTCCCTCTGCTTTACAGTCTGTCTATTCAGCAGTTTGCAGTCTTGGTCCGTTCAGAGAATCTCACCAGTTCACCTATGCCGTCGCCATCTTGCCCCGTCTCCTCCTTTGAGTTTTAAGCTGTTGCTTGTAGTACTCTGCTAGGCGCATCAGGTGCATCCAAGCCCTGGGAGCACTGACACCCGCGCACACCTGGCTTGGTCACGAGTACCCGGGCGGCACCGTGCCCAGCCCAGGTTCCATGTTTTTACTATTGTGAACAGAGCTGCAACAAACATGATTTTATTTTAGAGTTGTGGATTACAAGTGAGGATTTACTACATAAGTAAGTTGCATGCAGGATAATTTTGGGCTTCTAGCTGGCCCTCTCTCCCTCTGTTAGTGTACAAGGTACCCAGTATGTTGCCAAGTGCTCTCCCCTCCTCCCTTTCTCCTTCCCCTAGCAGTGTCCAGTGTCTGCTGATTCCATCTTTTACTCATGTGACCAGTGACCAAGGCCCACTTATGAGTGAGAACATGTGGTATTCAGTTTTTTGTTCCTGTGATAGTTCACTTAGTATAATGGTCTCCAAGTGCATCCATGCTGCTGCAAAGGCCATGATTTTGTTCTTTATTCAGCCTTCCTAGAATTGAAAAGAATTAGGACTTTGCTCTGTGTTAAGCTTTGGCTTGCGCAATGTTGTGACTGGTTTGACCTTCTATCCTGACCACTTAAACTTTCTCCACATCAGCAATAAGGCTGTTTTGCTTTCTTATTATTCTTATGTTCACTGGAGTAGCAATTTTAATTTCCTTCAAGAACTTTTCCTTTGCATTCATGATTTGGCTGTTTTGCATAAGAGGCCTGGCTCTCAGCCTTTCTCTGCTGTTAATATACCTTCCTCATTAAGCTTAATTATTTTTCACTTTTGATTTAAAGTGAAAGATGTGTGACTCTCACTTGAACACTTAGAGACCATTGCAGAGTTAATTGGCCTAATTTCAATATTGTTGTGTTTCAGGAAATAGAAAGGCTGGAGCATAGCGAGAGAGATAGGGAACAGCCAGTTGGTGAAGTAATCAAAACACACTGTCTTCTATGGGCATGGTTCATGGTGCCCCAAAACAAGGACAATAGTAACAGTAAAGATCACTGATCACAGATCGCTATAACAGATACAATGATGATTAAAAAGTTTGAAATATTTTGAGGATTACCAAAATGTGACACAGATATACAAAATGAGGACATGCTGATGGAAAAATGATGCCAATTAACACTCAATGCAGGGTGCCATAAACCTTAAATTTATATGAAATGCAATAGCTGTGAAGTGCAATAAAGTGAATCCAATAAAACAAGATATGCCTGTAGTGTCTATGAGAAATGTTTAGGGATGGTTTGGGAAGATGCTTGGTAAAGGAGGCCATCTGAGGAAGTACCAAATAAGTTCTCTTGGAGACCACACCCATACAGCCCACACACCTCTGATGAAGTCTGTGTTGAGGGTTGATCATCATCTCTTTCCTAAGAGCTTCTTGTCCAAGGGCAGCTCTTGGCATATGTGGGGAGGAAACTGAAATACCCAGAGCCTTGTAATGCTTCTGAGGTGGGTCATAGACTCTGGTCTGATGGAGGCAGTTCCCTCTTCGTGTATCTCTTTCACTGAATGACCCAGAAATAAACACTAGACTAAGCATAATACTGCAGACCTGCCTCTGAGCATGGGTTGCTTGTTTGAATCCTCTCCACATTCAACTCCAAGTACTGACTGGCCAAATGGGATCTACCCTGGATCTAGCCCCCGGACCATTTCAGAGAAGTTGTTATTTCACAAAGTAGGAGGGAGTCTGTACCACAGTGATTCACTTCCACCAACTCATAATAGGACTATGGGCAAGACCCACAGCCACTATATACCAGTTAATACTTAGCAACATCAGCATGACCCACACATTCCTTCACCTCTTGGTGTTTCCCTGGATCTAAAGAAAAGAGAATGAGTGATTAAGCAAGAGGGCTTGGGAAAGGTAGGGACCATGTAGTTAATGGAAGGTACTGAAGTCAGAGATCCTGACATCCAGTTCAGGCTCCAAAAGAGGAGTGGCCATATTGGTGGGTGCTGGATAGGAGGAGGTTTGGGGTTAGTGTAGGCACTCATGGCATGCCTCTCATCTTAGGTAATGCAGAAAAGTGAGCAAAAAGAGAGTCCAAAGGAAGCACCCTCTCTAGCCACATCATATCCTGTTAGTCTCTTGTGACCTTGGGCATGTCACTTAACTTCCCTGGTTCTCGTTACCTTCATTGTAAAGTGACAGAAATCTGAACTTCACAAAGAAATTGGGTAGCCATGGAGTGGGATATGCACCAAGGCTAAGAAGAGAAAAGAAGTGTTTGGGGACCTCCCACTCTATGCCCCAGCCTCTAATTTTCATCTATCTCATGCTTAATGGGTTCTTCTGACTCCAGGGTGAGGAATGTTCTTCTTAGCCTTGGGAAATTTTGCACGTGAGCAGTTCCTCCCCCTGAAAGTACTGGTTTGGTTAGCAGAGTGGCACGGGGGCTAAGCCTCCTAGAGCTGCCAGGAGGGCATGGGCATAAGATAGAGAGAAAGAGAAGAGAATCATAACTAAGGAGAGAGACCAGAGACTGGGGCCCAAGATGGGCATGGCATCTGTGGAGGCGGCACTGGGTTCTCAATGATCAAAAGCAGTGACAAAGAAAGAGCCAGAATCTCTGGGCATTTGTTTTGATTTATTTGACAGGGACAAGGAGTTCAGACAGCGGGGAGGGCAGCATTTCTGTTAACGTCCTTGTGCCTGTGATTTGAGGTCTTCACGCTTCAGATGTGGGCACAGGCTCTGGATAGAGGGGTGTGGGGAGCAGGATATCCAGCCAAGCCCACTCTCTCACTCTAAAAGGCTCATACAAACATTCCCACAGAAAGTGGCACAGCATATGTTATTTGCTTGACAGTCTTGGTGAGATTCACAGATGCGTATGCAGGTATAGAAACTGGGTCGCTTCTGACAGACTTTGATATCTGAGGGTAGCTGTGTTTCTGAAAGGGAGCAGGAAAAGAATGAATGAAAGCAGGTGCTAGAGAGCACCCTACTCTAGGTTAAAGTTTCCTACAGGACCCCAGAATGCAGGTCCCACTCATGACAGTCAAGACTTTCCACAGAATCCTTTTTGTGCTCCTCACCAAATCCTGGTGCTTAGTAGGGTTTTAAATCTCATGTCTTCACCCTCTCTCCTTCCCACCATCCCGGTAGACCTTAATGTCTCAGTTCCCTGTACCCTCTCCGTATACCTGCAGTCAGAACTCTGTCTCTCTTATTTGTCATGGCCTTGGTGAAGTCGTCCCCATAGAATATACACTCTGACCCTGAGAGCTCAAAGGAGCCCTGAAACATCTTTCAAACCCTCCCCACTCTCCAAATTAGCAGACTGCAGAAAGGAAGATGAACCTGCCTCTTACCTGTCTCTCCTCTTATCACTGTCACTATCTTCTGTTTCCCTGCCCCTTTATTAGTTCCCCTTCCATTGCTACCCTCCTGGTGTCTCTCCTGGTAACATTAACTTGGTCGTGTATGCCTCAAATTTTGCTTGCTGTATGTTGTTTTTTTCTCTACATCTGCCCATTTCTACACCTACACCTCCCTCATTATCATCTCTGAATGTTTACCCCTCACAAATGTGCATAAATTAAAGAATAATTGTCTTTTTTTCCCACCAGATTTCAGGGCCTGTTGTACTTTTTATTACGGTATGTACTGTTGGTCTCTATTTCTGGACTGGAGAATAAAAAATGTAGGTTTCCCCTTCACTTCCATTATTATTCCTTGGGCCAGGTGAAGGGGGTGGAGGGCCATGGTTTGGGATGGCCTGGAGTCTGCACAGCACTGTGGTCAGAGCTGGTTGTGCAAAGAGATACCAGTTCCCATGACCTACTCAGACTGGGCACAATCCCTCCCTTTCCCTTCCCCATAGCCAGCCCCCAGCTCATCACGTACCCTGCATGTTCTGTATCCTCTTCCAGTTACGGTGTCCTCCCTGGGCCTGCAACAGCAACACACAGAGGACCAGGACAGGTAGCAGAGCCTGGAGAGGCATGATTCTGACTGGAGCGGGGAGCCCTGGATCTGGTCAGGATGTCACAGAGCTCTCTGCAGAGTTGCTTGTGAAAAGGGAAGGAAGGAAAGAAGGAATGATCCGTAGCTCCTTGCTGCCTCCACTGACTCAGGCAGTGCAGAACAAGAGACTTTCCCCCCCTCCCTTTATCTGCCCTTTCTCCATCTTTCTCCATGTGGGATAAGACTTCTGCAGGAATGATGCCTCCTCTTGCATAACTCAACCTGTCTTCTGGTTAAGATAGTGTTTTCCTTTCTAAAATATACTACTTATTTCTACTTTCTCATTACAAAAGGTTTTACAAAAAAATTTTTAAAGATATGGTTAGAATTAACCCATGTTTCATTGCATTATCTTTTAATTTCTTTGCATATTTAATATAAACAATCCTTTAAATAAAAATATCTAGCCGGGCTCGGTGGCTCAGCCTGTAATCCCGCGCCTTTGGGAGGCTGAGGTGAGTGGATTGCCTGAGCCTGAGGGTTCGAGAGTGCCTGGACAGCGAGACCTCATCTCTACAATAAATCAAAAAAATCAGTTGGGCGTGGTAGCGCATGCCTGTAATTCCGGCTACTCGGAAGGCTCAGGTGGAAAGATCACCAGAGCCCAGCAGGTCGAGGCTGCGGTGGCCGGGAGCGGCCACTGCACTCCAGTCTGGGCGACAGAGTGAGACTCCAACTCAAAAAAAAAAAAAGTCTTTTGTTACCTATTTTTTAACACCCTTATTTAACCATATTTAATCGTGTAAGTTTTTTTTCCAAACATGGTTTTTAATAATAGCACATCTCTCACTTAAAACAAATGCCAATAATCAAGTATTTGTGTTGTACAAATTACTGATGTCCTAGACAATGTCATATTGAGCATTTTATCCACAAATCCTTGATTTCTTTTGAGTATTAAAGTAAGACAGGTAGAATTTCTAGGTGAAAAAGTAGGTGTTTCATGTATAGATATCAAAATCCATACACATAATACATATGCAAATTTATATCATATATAAATATATACTTATATATGCATATACACAAATGTATACACACAGAGAGAAAGAGAGAAGTTTAGAGCATTGGAGGAAAGAGCTAATGGGAGCACATAGAAAATATCTTAGCAGTTAGACAGGGGAGGGAGTTATTAGCCAAGGACTTGGCAGGTTTCTTGGGAGGAGGGGGTCACTGACCTTGAATACTGTGGAAGAAATGATCTCTCAGAATAAAGAGAGGACAACTTGGGGATACTGGACTCCCAGTAGGCACAGAAGGTGGGAAGAAAATGGACCAAGGGAGTGAGCTGGGGAACTCCATAAAGTCACTCGCAGGCTGGCCTTAGATTGTAAAGTTGTCCCTGTCCGCAGTCTCATTGCCTGGGCAAAACTAAAGCTTGGGCAAATCCCTTCCCGCTATAGTCCTATGAAGACAGCCCAATTCCAGTGTGCCTTGGCTGCAGCATACTCCACACTTGCCTGTCATATTTGGCTGTGGGGACCCTTTCTCCACTCCAGACCAAGCACTCCAATCTCTGGCCTGAGCCTAACACTCACAGAGGTTACTGCTGCTAGACAGCCAAATTCTAACCAGTTCGCTATGAACCAGGATTGAGAATAGTATTCTCTTGCTTGTTCAGGGTTTGAGAAAATGCCTGAAGCCCTTCCTGGCACTTTTTTTCCTCTTCACAGTGTCACAGTCTCTCCTCAGGTTCGCTCTGGGGCTTGGGAGGGATAAGGTGTTCTTCTGTGACCTGGGTTGCAGTGGGAAAACAAATCGCAGAGTTACACTCTCTGCCTCTCTTCCTACTGGGGCTTTACTCACAGTTCTCAGTCAGATGCCACCACACAGACTGCCTGCCCCACCATCTCTTCTCTAGGATCTGAAGTGTCCATCACTTTCCTGGTAAATTCCTGTGCTTCTTCTTGAAAAAAGATCACAATGTGAATCTCTACAGACTATCTTGTGATTTCCAAGTAGATGAGGCACACTAACAAATCCTTTAATCTGATGTCTTGTGGGGGGGGGCATAAATTTTTTTTATATGCAGTGAGAAAAATGATGTGACTAAATGTATTGCAATATTGTTTTATTGCAGTGACCTGGAGCCAAACCTGCAATATCTCTGAAGTATGCCTGTGTCCTGGGAAGAAATTTTTTTTAAGTTAGAATATTTATTTTATATGTGTGTTCTATAATGTTATAGATTTTAGATACCTTAATCACTGTCAAAAGAAATACAGTTGATATAACTGACAAGCAAATTCTCTACAGTCACACAGATAAATGCAGTATGTTTTCTAAGTGTTACTGCCAAATGGTAGAAATACTCATATCAAATGGACACTTGATTTTTACAAAGTACAGATTATTTAAAAAATAAATTATCGCATTTAAAATAAATTAAATCAAAATATCACATCTAGATCAAATTGTTTCCATTTAACCCTTGCTTCTTTTTCTCTCCATTGCAATCCATAATGAACCCGTGTTTGTTGGCTTTTTGTTTGTTTTTCTCTCCCTCCTGTTGGTATCTTTGTCTAATTATTCTATGCTCTAAACTATTTTCATTGGCATTCTCTCCAATTTTTTGTATGATATCTTTCTTGTATGCAAATTAAAAAATTCTTGTATTTCTCAGTTTTGATCTTGCTCCAAGTCCTAGCTTTCATTTTCAAAAACCTCAAGACAATTTGACAGATGTATCATAAATTGGACTCAATATTGAACAGTGATTGTATGTTATTCCATTTTCAAGCAGCCCTGTTTTCTACATTTCTCACTGTTTTTAAAGTCACTGCAATTTTTTAACTCACCTTCTTTTACTTTCAGGTAATGCCCCTCTTTTATTTGCTACAGCTTATGAGTCTCCCAACACCATCTAGACTAACCTTATTTCTTTTCATTTCTAGCCATTTCTATTTAAATTTTCTTAACTTTTCTGCAAGAAAAAGCCAATATCATTAATTCCACACTCCTAAGTTTTTGTCTTGTGCTTTTTATTTCATGTGCAGTTGTCAGTTCTGAAGACCAATTTCAGGCATATGACTTCATCAAAAACCTTACTTTGAAAATTATTATTGAGATGATATATATTTTTATAACATATATAGTGTACTTCATTTTTCGTTTGCTTGTTTTTTGTAATCAATATTTTTTATTATGATGTTGTGGGGTACAGTTAAAGGTTAGGTATACAAATACATTTCATTCAGGCACCCTATTGATAAGAGGTGCCTCCCCATCCCCAGACAGATATTTACTACCGTTAATCCCATCTCCC